CATCTAAGTCCAGAAAAGCGCAGGACTGGGAACAGCAAAGATACTGAGAAGAACTCTCAGGCTCCCAAGCCTCTGGTAGAGAACCCGAGCTGGATGAGAGGGAGAGAGACCAACCACCATGGAAGTTGAGGAGCACAGTTTTTAAAAATAAAATTTGCAATGTTGGCTCTCAGATTTTGAGTTGGTATCGCCAGGGCCTTCTAGCAGATGTACGACGTCACTGGATTCAGAACCGCTGAATGGACAGTCAGAGAGCGAACCAGCCAAAGCAACAAACTTCATCTGTAGAGGAACCAGAACTACACCAAGTCTAAATCAGGACTATACCAGGACTAATCTTGGACTTGAGCGAGCGAGAGAGAGAGTGAGACAGAGTGAGGGAGTGTGTCCGTAAAGCGCTATACGGCAACAGCTGCACTGAGCACCATGCGGTGCGGAGCGCCGTGCAGCCTCATACGGAGCTGAGCCCTGTGCAGCGTGAAGCCGAGCCCTGGCGTGGTCCTTTCGTCTGCGGTCACCCGACTATCTACGCGGGCGCACCTTGAGGCCAGTCCCGACAAACAGTCCTGGTTTAGTTCTGTTTAGTTCTGGTTTAGTTCTGGTTTATTTCTGGTTTAGTCCTGGTTTAGCACCCCAGCGCTCCTCACTTCTTCTCCGTGCACCACGCGCCCCCCTCTCCTCACTTCTCTGTGCACGGCTCCACGGCTCTATACTGTGTATAATGTAACCATAAAATAGTTATTGAGGAGTGGACTGTTTCAGCTGGAGCACTACTGAAGGCCTAGATGTGAAATGCACGGTCGCCACATATTAACTGCTAACACATAACATATTTAAATCACCATGCTAACTTTTATTGTTTTGAAAATACTATATTCACCAAGAAAAGCGGAGTAACATGCTTTGTAAGTATTTTTTTTTTTTGACATTCAGAGTTAAAAGTCACTCTCTTCAGAGCACTGTTACAGTGCTATCACTGTGCATTCCACTCATGAAACTACTGTGCACGTTGTCAGTTTTCTGAAGTTGTAGTGTATTTTTTGTATCATCCTTTATTATCTATATTTATGGAGAATTGTCATGTGGGAGCATGGATGACTTAGGCTTTTGGGAAGAGCATTGGACAGAATCTTAAAGCTAACTGTAAGAAGGGCTTGAATAGGGCCCATCTAAAACCTCAATCTCAAAAAGTTTTTGATAAGGGAACAACGTTATGACATGGTGGAAAGCTCCAAAAAGTCGATTTCACACAATAGTCCCTTTTTAAGATCAGAACATTATGCTTGCTTGCATTGCCCCTGTGCATTCTCCAGACTGGAGCTGTACTCTGACAACCCAACACAAAGCTGAGGACATGATCTATTTATATAAATGTTTCTGTGTCCAGTGTGACCCAGCGCTCTAAGACCGTGTACTGTAGTGTTACTTAAGTCCTTCTCACATGCAGCTATATGCTCCCCCTTTCACTGACTTCAACACAATCCAGTCAAACCTCTAAGGACGAGGAGGAATTGTACACTGTGCTCATGTCTCAGCAGGAGGGAGGGGAGGGGGAAGCAGGGGAGAAGAGGAGAAAAGAAGAGGAGGAGGAGGAACACAAAGGGCTTTAGATGTCAGCATCTGAAGAAGGCAGCCAAAGGAGAGCCCTACATGGCCACGCTGCTCACACACACACAGTTTTGGATGGGGTTAGTCACAAAAACTGTGCGGCCTTGTCACGGTTTCATCAGAATGTCTTAAAGGTGCACCAGGTAACTTCAGGAGGACGTTTCACCTTTGGGACTGGAATGTTTTACAGTATGGAGTTATATAAATATGTCTTTATTTCATTCATATTCAGTTTGATAACTTAAAGCCATAGTAAGTAACATTCTTTGGCCCAAAAATGTACTAATTTAAAAGCATGTTATTTCAGACAAAGATGTGTTCTTACTCTTACTCTTACTTGGCTTGGATGAGGGTTTCTTCCGGCTTGTTTCCATGGATATACTGTCTTGGGAATGTTACTGGGAATGCCACAGTATGGTTTTGCCTTTCTATTTCCATGGAATTATACAAGTGATAAGCATCCTCCAAAAAGTTACATACTGTACCTTTTAATAATACACTGAAAAAAAAAACCCAAAACTATTCTTACTGCAAGTGGATTGGCCTCTCCACAGATCTGACCTATAACTTGATTGCGTCAACATCTTCACTGTCAGCACAAAGCCATCGCCTTGATTGAAGTGTCATTAATAGAATGCCAAATCTGTGCAGCCAAACCCCAGTGATGATGTTTGCAGTAGTCCAAAGTTTTCTGAGGTTATAAGCACTTTATACTCCTCTCAGAGAAAAGTTTTGCTTTGACAGTAACAACAACCAGTTTGCTAATGTGCACTTCCTGATTATCGGACAATAAAAAGCTTTCTAATTATGCAAACACCAACAGCAGACTTATTTTAACTTCAAGAGCTACATATACAATACATCTGTACTGGGGCAAGACACATTGCACTCAAATACATGGGGAAAACAGGCACAGGGCATTTAATAGGAAGCCAGTGCAAAGAAGCAAGAATTTGAGTTATGTGCCTTTTTGGTTCTTGTTAAAATCATGCCACAGAGTTCTGGACTCACTTAAAGTGCCATTTTCTGACATTTGCAGATTTTCAATTTGGATATTTCTTCTAATAATAGTGAATCACTCATAGTTACCTACACAGAATGATGACATCATCAAGTTCAAGGAAAGTAAAATTGACCTTTTTCATATTTAAATTACAAGATCTGGATATTTGGATGTATAAACGGATGTATTAATGTAGTAATGATGATATAATACAAGATTGTTGGAGAGATAATCATTGTAACTGATTTACTCTAAAAATAAAATAAATAAATAAACTAAATAAATAAATAAATATATCAGTTAAATAAATTAAAATTAAACTGATAAAATTTGGTTCTCAAGCTGATGCGTTGTTGACTTTCCCAGAGTTTAGGAATGGTTCTGCTGCCTATTGAAAAAAAAAAAATAAGCCACTGTTGCTAGCACTAGCTACTTTATCTTTTGTATGAATCTCACATAAAGATTATATAAGATGCAGCTCAAATCTGGAACTTCTTAGCTTTCAAATGAAGTCTCCTTCATATAATGCATAGGCTTAAGCACAAATGGATTTTGTCCTTGATTTACAGCAGCTTATGGTGTTATAAGAACAGGATTAGACAAGGAGGTGTGAAAGAAACCAAAATACCAGCTCTATAAAAGAAACAGACCCAGATGAGACTTAAGTCCAATGTAGGAGGTGCAGCTCTTGAGGAATTCTCCTTATATGTTTTCTGTGGAGTAATGAGAACAACAAGGGATTGGTTTGGAAAAATGCAAGACTGAAGAAATGTCGAAAAAATCAGCAATAACCCACAAATGTCAAATGTGATATACAGACATTTGTACATTCCATGTGTGTTCTGGGTCTTCAGGCTGCTTGTCTACATGAGATGTCCTCACTTTGTTTGGAAAGTTCCACTGTGTGACATTACTGGCATAGCATGTCAATGGAAACATGCAGTTAACAAGATATGTCTGCTGTAAATCCACCTTGAATTGAATAAATGGTATGGACCTCCAAAAAAAGCAGTAACATCTCCATGTAGACAGACAGTGGATCTACCCCACCAGTAAAGTTACATAGTTCTTTTCCCCATATATATATCTTTTATTTCTACTTTTATTTCACTTGTTTCTTGATGATGTTTTAGCTACCTCATCCCAGAGTTCCTCTGTGTGGAGGGAGAGGAGCCCAGTACTCCCAGGTACTCAGCACCTGTAACTGTAACTGTAACTGTAACTGTAACTGTAACTGTAACTGTAAAGTATTTGTACAGAGGCTCAGATTGTAGAAAGCAACAAAGCCATGCTCACAGTTCAAATGCATATGAACATTGTATGTTTGCTGCACGCAAGTTGAATGAGGTAAGAGTCCAGCATGAGCAAAATACTGCATTGATACAATATTTAAAGGGATTGTCCATGATCTGCAATTACACTGAGAGAACTATTAAAGGTGCACTGTGTAATTTTCTGCTTTTCTAACACATTTTATTGCTTTGCTTGAAATGTTCCACATGTGGTAGTCAACATGGACAAATACATGTGACTCTGCCACAAGTAGAAAGGCAAGCTCACTCACAGTAAGAAGGCATGCTTTTCAAGGCAAAACACTGTAATTTATTCAATGCAATATAAGTAAGTTGAATGGTGAAACATTCCGGGCACAGCAGTGTTCATAAAGCACTCACCAGAAAAGTAACATAGTGCACCTTTAAAACACCACTCCATCCATTTCGGACACACTTTACAGCACAGAAGAGTCTGGTAATAGGAAACAATCAGAAGACCAACAATGGGGAAATAGCTGTGAATCCTAGCCATCTTGCTTGTCTTTGTCATGATGTTTACTACACCTAGAGCTGACGAGTGCTCTAAACAACCCAATTGAAATCATTTTACTTAAATTGGACCAGGCCAGTTTTCCATTTTCTCTGGTGTGCATGTAAACATACTAACTGAGTGATGACCATTTCATGGTCTGCTTTTCTAACATAATAATGCTCCTGCACCTTTTTTTTGTTATAATCTATGACATCCATGGATCATTATGTTATTATATATTAATAAAAGAAGCATGTCTGCTGACTTCCAGCCTGGAAAATTGCAAAGCACAATGGGAGTGAACAGTGGGAGCATCTTTCTTTTTAAAAATTTGTGCCAAACTACTACATCACTGCCAGATTCTTCATGTATAACCAACTGAAAATACATAAATCACTCATCACAAACTTTGAAGGTGCAAATGAAAAGAAAAACAATTGTAAATGGTAAAAATCTCTAAAAAGTTGATTTCGCATAATAGGTCTCCTTTAACTGAAATCAAGCCAATAGAATCATATCACCATGTTATCACTGTGCTGTAAAGTGCTGCCGTCTCCTTGACACTCTCACTAGTGCCCCTCCCTCAGATCCGGCTCATGGGCATGATGGACGTGTGCGCGCTGCGAAGACTGTCGCTCCTCTCTGCGTCCGAGTGCAGGCTGGGGGAAGTTTTCTTGTGTGACGAGAGCCGCGTCATGCGCACAAAGCAAGTGTGGTTCTCTGCCTCAGAGCTCCTGTGCGCGCCCAGGCAGCACCGACTCAGACCGTGGCGCAAACGCATGGTGAACAGTCCATACGTGATGGGGTCCAGGCAGGCGTTGAACAGACCAAAGATGAAGAGCATGTGGGTGAGGGAGTGTGAGACCGTCTCCTCCATGTCCTCCGGGTACAGCCAGTACCACAGGCCCAACAAGTAGTAAGGCGTCCAGCACACGATGAAGGAGCTGACGATGACGATGCTCATCTTCAGAGTCCTCATGCGAGCACGAGGGATGTTGTTGTGTGAGCGGCGCAGGTGCACGTCACGTGACAGCACTGCAACACAAGAGAGTGAGGAGTCACAATAGGGGACTATAGGGAACAGTACGATATGGAAGGATGATACGCATGAGGATGCACGGAACAGACTAATGATCTTAATAAAAATTTAATCAAAAAGAGGAGTGATTGCAGTCTAATAGCGGGAGAATCAGCGTTTTCTCCTCACTCCCCTCGCCCTGACTGATGAGCCCATCACCAACACGGACTCTTTCTCCTTGCTCGGCACCACCATCACCCAGGATCTCAAATGAGAGTCCACCATCACCTCCATCATCCAGAATGCCCAATCTGGTGTAGTACACCAGAGAAACAGGGATAAACACAGACTGTAGCAGAACAGTGTGCGCTCTGATGAAAAAGTGGTCAGCAGCAGCCTTCCATCTTTCCAGGACCTCTACATCTCCAGGAGCAGGGAGGATTGAACATACATTTCATGTCTAAATGCAATCATAAAATAGCCCAATGGACTATTTCAGTACCTGTGTTTCATTTAAAACCAGCTAACTGTGTATTGTTAGAGAAATTCCATTTCTGTGCTGTGTCAAGAGCACTCACGGCCATTTCAATCCTTGTTATCTTGTTATCTGTTGAGGGTTCATATCTCCAGTTGCTAGGTCCTGTACTGATGTAAATAAAAGTCACCTGTGTTAGAAATCTAGTCTCGTGCATCTTCTCTTCCACTAACAGCTACTACAATTTATTCTACAGCATCCATGACTAGACAACAGGTTTATTAGTACAAGGCCTGTTGCTGGTGTCATGAGGTCATATATTAGCAGGTGCAAACTGGTGTGAGGACATTAAGTCCAACATCGCTCTTTATTCGGTAGAAATGTGGTGAAAGGTTTGCATCATTTGTCCAGTAATCACATGTGTTAATGAGTTCACTTTGACAGTGCGAATAATTATAGAATGAGAGATCAAACGCAACCCCTTCATATTATGCTTAAGCAGTCCAGCAAGAGTTAAACCATGTTCTGCTGCAAGGTCACCATAGCAACAGGTAAACATCTGAGCTGTTATGACATTAGGATGTCAAACTAATGCTGCTGTCCTTGGGAAAATGCACATGAACACTCACATAAGTTGGAAAAACAACTCAGAGAACTGAGGCTAAAATCATCATAGCTGACTTCACCAACTGTTTGGACATGAAAATGAGCTCATTCATCAATTTATCTTTATCATTTGAGCTCTTTCACTAAACATTATTACATTCAGGGGTCTACTGTTAGTTGTCCTGCTCATAACAGCAACAGATCTGAGCAGGAAAGATCCAACATGTATGTACATGCATATGACAGGTTCTGATCATGCTCTAATTTTGACATAATTTGGTGGGATAATATATGTTGTAAATATAAATGATAGTTTTAGCCTGATTAAAAAGCCATTTGTGAAAAAATTTTCAAAAATATTCAGAAAATGACAAGGGAGTAGAGAGGTCTATTTCAGGGAGTTCCACATCATGGTACGAAGAGCTCTGTCCAAAAATTAATAACAATTTACATGCTAGAAACATATTTTTCTGTAACTTTAAAGACAATTTCAGCAACATAAATGTGTTTTGTGTACATTTAAGGAGCTCTAGCATAGCATGCAATATCTTGCTGGGTAACAACTGGAATTCCCTATTGTGATGTCATGATTTTCCAACCACGAAGTAAAATTTGAAACCTGATTAAATTGCCAAATCAGGAAAAATGTATACAATTTTTAGTAAAATCTTAAATATAATTATTTTAAGTGTGTTTTAATAAAATGAGTAGTTCAACCTGTCAGAGGCAGGTGCTAACAGAATGCTAACAACAAGAAATCTAACTGAACGCTGTTAATGAGTGGAGGCTGGTTTAATTTCCCAGAAGCACGTGAATGGAAACAAGTCAGAACTCTTGTAGCTCATCTCAGAACGTGCACACAGAATAATACACAATGCCTCAGAGAGTGGCCAGGCCGTCTCTATCAAAAGTACAATGCATTTTAAACCTTCTTGTTTTGAATAATACAAATTAAAATAATTTACAAATACAGATGAAAAAAACTGATTACTACTGGAAAAAAGAAAAGAAAAAAAGAAGAAGAAATAACTCAGTTAAATTTGTAAATAGAAAACAATTGTGTCTCAAGGGAATATAATTACTGTAATATAATACAGTTTCCATTCCATTTTCTACACTGCCCCCTCCTCTGCAACGGCTGGAGAGGTGCAGATCAATACACACTGTCAGGGAAGAGACTGCAATACAACATTTATTCACAGAGCAGCAGCTTCAGAAACAGCTCAAAATATTTATTTTAATTATTGTGCCAGATTGTTGTCATTGTAATAAAGACTCCTGAAGCTACATTGTGTAATATTAGTTGTATTGCTTTTGAAGATTTGTGCAAGTTTGTGCCTTTGTGTGAGTCATAGGAGACAGTGTTTACACAAGCACTATACAGTTATTCACTCATCAGTTTGAATGAAACACTAACTGCACTGTTTACCATATGCAAAATGTAGCATTACAATATATTAAAGGAATAGAGTGATCAAACTGTTTATGGTAGCTTAGTATGAGGTCTAAATGAGTTAATAAAATGTGCTGTATAAATGAATTGGATTGCTTTAAGGCATGTATTATAAAATTAAATTGCAAATAGAAGTCATTTCTAAACAAGGAGCCACAAGAGATAGTAGTGTTTAAAGTGTATGTACATTTCACTTCTTATCTCCCAGCATGCACACCCAGCTAATATGGTTGTCAAAAGTATTGAAAATCAGATACTACTCAATGTTAAACCTAGTATTAAAACTAGATACTTATTTGAGCAGGAATCAGTACTAAAAGTTTTTTAAGGACAAAAAGGAACTTTTCCTGAATAGCTTTAGAATGAGTATAAGAGCACATAGACTAGTATACACCCATGGGCCACTGTGGAACCTACCTGGATGACTGCGGTATAAAGCCACAAGGTAATATAAAAGAAAGTACTATGATTTAAAATGCATTGGACAGATTGACAGACATAATCATCATAATTTTACTTTAGTTACGCCAGTTTGTGAAAAAAGAAAAAGTTGAAAAATACAAGAAGTAGCTATGAGCTCATTCCATCAAAAACAAAGTTACAGAAATACCTGTAAATATTTCACATCTGATGGCCATATCCAACCAAGAAGTCAAATTATAAACTCAACCAAAATTTCAAAACTAGAGAAAGACAAGGCAAAATTTAAAGCAAAATCTTAAAGATGCATTGTGTTACTTTTCTGGTGGAAGGTTAGTCAAATGCTTTTCTCCATGTAGATGTTATTGCTTTGTCTGGAATGTTTCACATTATGGTATTGGACCTATCTTTCTTCATGGAGACCAAACCAGACCAAGTTACAAGTCAGATCTGTGGAGAAGCAACCCTGCTCACAATCAGAATGTCTGTTGTTCTAGGTATTTTTTAGCTATAAATCCATTTGTAATTTAACAAATGTAAAGTAGATCTGTTTAACGTCATATTGTGGAACATTCCAGGCAGAGCCCCCAACCAAAAAGTTACATAGTGCACCTTTAATAAAATCATGCTAAATCTATTTTAGTGAAATGTGTAATCTATCCTGTCATATGCACTTTAATGTGAAAAACCACATTCTATTCTCTAAAGAAAGAGAATCGGAATCTGTATTGAGTATCAAGTCTATTCCTCAGTATCAAAATTGAGTTTGAAATGACAACACTGATACACCACAGATAGTGGGTCCGTACATGCTGATGGGTTTGTCTGGTGAGTGGTGACATGGGACACAAAGAGGTGAGTTGGAGGCAGAGGTGGAGTTACTGCGGCTGGAGATCTGGGCCAGGATGCGTGTGTAGCAGCAGATCATGATAATGAGGGGCAGGAGGAAGAGGCAGGCAAAGGTGAACAGGTTGTAGAGTGTCTCCTGCCAGCGCCACACGAAGCTCCCATGGGTGGTGCACTGGGTGAAGTGCTCTGGCACAGTGATGGTCACGGCGTGGAAGATAAACATCTGAAAAACACAAAAACACCATCAGTACGTTGGACTAGGGCTGGGGGATATGAGAAAAAAATAATAAAATTTTTCCCCCCATATTGACAAATCTTGATTTTTGATTCGATCTTTTTCCATCTTATCAAAAACATAGACACTGCCACACGATTGGCTGTAGACCTGTTGATTAAATGCACATGCCTTATCAATGAGATCGACCAAAGTAGAGATTCCGACAATAAAAAGTGTGACATCGTAATATGGTTTGTGTTTTTCTCTTACAGGTGGATTGTGAAAGGTTGTTGATAATGGTGCTGTGTTTGGAATGTGTCACAGTATGGCATGAAACCTTTCTGTCTTCATGGAGACCAAACCAGACCAAGTTTTAGGTCAAATCTGTGGAGAGACAACCCCACTCACAGTCGGAATGCCTGTTTTTGAGCTATAAATTCACCTGTAACTGAATAAATGTAACGTAGAGCTGTTTAATGTCATACTGTGGAATATTCCAGGCAGAGCAACGCATGGCATATCCATAGAAACAAGCAGGTGACGGA